CATGATCAATCATTATAAAACATATCATATATATTATTCTGAAATGGACCAATCTGCACAACGACTACTTTTACTGTCGCTACTTTCACTATATGTTGATGAGAATACTTTTCTACTTTTACTTGAGGAACATTTTGAATGCAGTACTTTTACTAACAGAGTATTCCTACACTCTGATACTTCTACTTTTACTCAAGTACAAGATCTGAGTACTTCTACTTTTACTCAAGTACAAGATCTGAGTATTTCTGCTTTTAATCAAGTACAAGATCTGAGTGCTTCTACTTTTACTCAAGTACAAGATCTATACTTATACCACCTCCGTTTATAGCCTATGAAAAAAAAACTATTAGAAAACGAAGGCTAAAGCTAACGTTAGCAGATAGTGACAATGTATGCTAGCTAGCTAGCTCAACGATAATATTGCGACAGAAAAACGTTTCAGTTTACATCACGCTCTGCGCTCCGACAGGGAGCTCTGCTCTGAACACCTGAACGGCCCGTTCTAACAGCTGTTCACCAGCGGTCCAGTCTGTACCACAGTGACTCCGGACCGCAGTTAATATTAACGAACGCACCCGTAATGTGGCTGCTGAAGCTAGACCATCATCGCGGAGCAGCAGAGCCGACAGGCAGGAAGACTCGAGCACACAGCTCGCGCTGCATTATAATATATACAAAAAGAACACCATGCGTGTCATGATGGCACATAACAGCTCGCGGCCGCATATTACTCCGGGTCCCTGACCCCCCCATACCCCAAAAATATTTTTATTGCAGATCTACATGAATCACACAAACGACCTATTTTGGATTCAAAACGGCGAATTTCGCCGAAAGGTGAGTGATTTTCATGCCTGTATAAAAGTTATTGCATCGTTTAATAAAATAATAATGATAATTAATTCTATTTAGGGGCGCCTTTCAAAGCACCCAAGGACACCTTACAATTCATAACATATTCCAAGGAAAGGTTTTAAGACAGTACAAAGAATGCAGTCCGGGTGATGTTTTTTATGTGGGGTGCAGATGAGAGAGCTGTCCAGAATGACGCCAAGATGTTGTGTTTGAGTTCTTGTTAAGCCATTAAAACAGTAAAATACGTGTCTCCTGTTCACCAAAACATACCCATCTGTTATGAAAAAAGTATTCTAAAAGTAATCTGAATACATTTTTGCTTGCTTTTTTAAGACACGTAACTGTAACTGTATTCTGATTACTTTCAGAGCATGTATTCAGTAACTAATTACATTTACAAAGTAACCCTCCCAACCCTGCCTAGAAGTGTATGAAGGTAGATATGGTGCAAAATGTGAGAGTGTGTAAAAACCTGATGTGAGCACTTGCAGAAATACATTTACACTTGTATAAAATATCCACGTAACTGTGAACCAAATTTACACTTGTATAAAATATCCACGTAACTGTGAACCAAATTTGAAGTCACAGAAGAAAAAAAAAAAGTTTTGTAGCTTGTAGAAAAAAGATGAACTTAGTGATGAAATGTTCACTTGCAGAAAAATACATATTTTTAAAATATATTTTCCATTACAACTGCAACTTGGTTATTACAACCTCTCAAATCAGTCATTACAACTTGACGAATCTTATCTGTGGCAGTAGCCTATACATCGACGAATCTGCGGGGGGTTTTTTTTAAATAAATGTTTTATTGAACATTTTTAAAACATACAAAATCTCGGTGAGGATATCATCAACTTATCAACATAAGTGCAAGACATTCATTCACAATAAGACACAAATAATACATCCAATAAGAGCCAGGGGAGAGAAAAAAAGCATAAAGGCACAAAAAACATTTGAGAGGCATTAAGCTTACTTAAAATAATAACCATTTGGAAATGTCATTGCAAATCGTTATAGACATGTTACAAGATTGTATTTTCCTAAGGGGCATAAAAAAGGACTTGAACTCATTTATGAAACAGGGAAAGGAGGGCTTGCCTCCTCTCCATTTACTACAATGTAAATGGTATTTACCCAAAATAATAATTATATTTACCAAATCAGATATGGGAGAATCCAAATTATCAATATAATATAAAATGTGATATATTTTGAAGGCCGGAATGTTTGTTAATTTAAGTAACAACCAATCTCTCACATTCGACCAAAACAATTTAGAAAAAGGGCATGAGAAAAATAAATGTTCCAACGATTCATCAGATAAATTACAAAAGGAACATGGTTCCACTTCAAATTTAAATCTTGAATTTAAAAAAGTAGAAACCGGGTAGATTTTATGAACAATTTTAAAATGAATTTCTTTTGCTTTAGGAGAAATAGGCCATTTTATAAAATAAGATAGAGCTTTTTCCATTACAGATAAAGTGTCTAAATCGGTCCCTTGTGGAAATAAGTCTCTGTTCAAATTGTGAAAAATGTGGGATTTCAAAGAAGCATTGATAGATTTGTTATTCTTAAGAGTATCGCCAATAAATTCCAAACTAGGTAAAACTGATACAACATTTGAGTACAGTAAAGTATTATGAATCATTTCAATAATTGCTTTACAGATTTTGTTATAATCTTTAGCAGTACACGTTATATTGTATTTCGTTGAAAAAGCCAAAACATCTAGCAGTTTACCATTGCAATCTAGTAAAGCACGAACAAACAAAATACCCCTCTCATGCCAATCACTCCTAAACAAGGATTTTCTGTTTATAATAATCACTCTATTGTTCCATAAAGTAGATCCATGAGGAGAGAAATTGTGGGTAAATATCATTTTTCAATAATAAAGTATCTGCTTATGAAAATTTGGTCGGAATCTTATTAACCTCAAAATCACATTTTAAAAGAAAATCAAACCCTCCTAGACGTTTAAATATGGCCTTTGGAATATGGAACCACATGGATTCTGGCTGGGACAAAAAAGCTTTCAACCATTTTATTTTAATTGTTCCAATCATCGATTCAAAGTCTAAAGCTTTAATTCCGCCTTTATCATATTCTTTAACAAGCTGTGACTTTTTAATGTAGTGAGTTTTATTTCTCCACAAGAATTGGAAAATAATTGAGTTGTTTTTTTAAATATTGGCCGAAGAGACAAAACATGAGTGGCATGGATAAATAAGTTTAGATATACCTTCTGCTTTAGTAAGAAGAACTCTGCCAAAAATAGTAAGATCTCTAGTTAACCAACGACTGAGAGATTTCTTCATATCTGTGATACGGTTACAAATATTAAGATCTTCTCTCCTGATATAATTTTTAGATAATGTTATTCCTAAATATTTCACTTCAGGTACCACTCTAATAGAGTCAATAATGGAATCATCACATGAATGGATAGGGAGTAATTCACATTTTGAAAGATTAAGAGATAACCCTGATGCTTTTGAAAACATTGAAATTGTGTTAAGAGTTTCCTTTACCATGGATTTATTCTTTAGGAAAATGGATGTGTCATCCGCAAATTGACTAATTTTAAATTATTTGTCAAAGAGGGTAATGCCTAATATTTTGTGATTCTTTATAATAAGCGTTGTTAAAACTTGGGTGGTCAGCATAAATCATTTTGGGGAAATAGGGCAACCCTGTCGAATCCCACGTAAAACCTTAAACCTAGGGCTCATTCCAGGGTTCAAAGATACAGAACTATAGATGTCCGAATAGAGCATCCTAATTATGTTGCAGAAATGTTCACCAAAACCCAGAAATGTTAGAGTTTCCATTAAAAAGCAATGTTCAACAGTATCAAAAGCCTTATAAAAATCCAGAAACAGTACGAGACCTTCAGTATCAGTATCTTGCCACTGCCTGCAGATGCCACGAAATGCGCTTGCTGTCTCTCAAAATTACAGTAGGGCCTGGCTCATTTCGTGGCATCTGCAGGCAGTGGCAAGTACTTCCGGCATCTGCCACAGAGGCTACTACTCCGTGGCATCTGTGGCAAGTACTTCCGGCATATGCCACAGATGCCACTACTCTGTGGTATCTGTGGCAAGTACTTCCGGCATATGCCACTTAGGGCTGTGCAATTTAATCGATACTGCGATATATATCGATATTTTGTTTCTCGAGAAAGTATCGATATTTCAGCCGCGGGTATCGATACATTAAGTCCCATTCAAATCCCCCGTGTTCCGCCTGGCACTCTGCTCCCTGCCCATTCCCCCCCCCCGTTCGCTTTGCATGAAGAGCGATTACATCAGCCAGCCGAGCCGCTAGTGTCGCTGTAGAGCATTTCTAGATACACACGCCGGTTTCTTCTTCTCGCAGTGAGTGCGAAGCGGTTCAGGAGAATGGCGGCACACATTAACCCAGCACCTTCGTGCTTAAAAGCAGATGTGTGGGAGCACTTCGGCTTTAAAAAGAAGAAGGAAAGCGACAATTTAGATAAAACTATGGCGGTTTGCAAGCTGTGTCACACAAACGTGAAATACTCTGGAAATACCACTAACCTACGATTCCACCTACAACGTCACCACCCGGACAAGGTAATGCTAACTCAGGAACTCAAGAAGCTGCGGCCGCGGCGTGACCCAAAACAAACCGTGCTGGACAGCGATGGCGGTTGTTCCCACAAGTTCCCATCTACTTCACCAAGGTCGCAGAAGATTACAGAGTCCATTGCCTACTTTATTTGTCAGGATTTGAGACCTTATTCCGTGGTGGAAAACATAGGCTTTCGGCGCATGGTGAACGCGATGGAGCCGCGCTATCCTGTTCCAACCCGCCAACACCTCACCAAGGTTTGCGTTCCCAGGCTGTATGCTCAGACAAAGGCACACGTCAAAGCCTCCCTGGGCAAAGCGGAGAGAGTTGCCCTGACGTGCGACGGGTGGACCTCGCGAACAACTGAAGCATATGTCACCATCACGGCCCACTTTATTAACGAGGAATGGGAGCTTGTTACGTATGTATTACAAACCAGGGACATGCCCGAGAGCCACACCGGACACAACCTGGCAGAACATCTAAGAAAGGCCCTCGCTGAGTGGGAAATCACAGAAAAGGATCCAGTAATTGTCACAGACAACGCGTCAAATATGACAATAGCAGCTGAGGAGGCAGCGTTCACACTTCACGTAAAATGCTACGCACACACCCTAAATCTGGCTGCACAACGTGCCCTCAAAATCACAGCAGTCGCACGCCTGTTGGGAAGAGTGAGACGCATTGTGAACTTCTTCAGACGAAGCACCACAGCCAACCACATGCTGAAAGAGAAACAGAGGCTTCTACAACTACCCGAGCACAAGCTGATGACGGACGTGGTTACAAGGTTTGTTCGTAGTTACTTTTCAATTGTTCATTTTGTTTTTATTACTAATTTATTTTGTCATTAATAAATACATTTAAATAAATCTATAAATAAAGTTTCTTACTTTTATTTAACTACAGGTGGAACACGACATGCTGAACTGTGTGCACAGCGCAGCAGCATGTCTGAGAACCCGCCCCCGCACACAGATGAGAGAGAGATCTCTTTTTAAATATATGCTGGAAAGATTCCTTGAGCAACAACTGGCCATCTGTGCAGCCCTGCTCTCGAGTGAGGTGAGGAAGACCGAGAAGGATCTGTGCACACTGACTGAGTCAGACGTGACAACAGCTGAAGAAGTAGTCAGCGCGCTGAAGCCCATGAAGAAGGCTACACAGTACATGTCCAAGGAGAAGACCCCCACGCTGTCAGTCATCGCACCCCTCCAGGACACACTGATCGATGGACTGAAACCTATCGAAGGTGAATCTGCAGTCATAAAAGAGATGAAGGCTGCCATGTCTAGGGATCTTCAGAAGAGGTACATCGACCTCAGGGCAACTCTCCATGTATGTTCAGCAATGGATCCAAGATTCAAAAGTCTTCCCTTCCTGACTGAGAACCAAAGACAGGAAGTTTATGATGGACTGATTGCAGAGGCTCAGGATCAGCCAATGCCATCAGAGGTAAGGCAATGATGGTACTGCTAGGTTTAACCCTTGGCCTTGTATCCTATGTAACATCTCCTGGTGAGAGTAAGCATAGGCCTAAATAATACATTGTTCAACGTTTAAAAGGCAAATCCTACAATGTTAACTGTTTAAAATGCATAAATATTAAATTGTTTAAAAAGCATAAATCCTACAACGTTAACTGTTTAAAATGCATAAATATTAAATAGTTTAAAAAGCATAAATACTATAATGTTAACAGTTCTAAAGGCATAGATTTTAAATACACTAATTAAAATATTTATTACAGTGAAAGCTCAAGAATTTCATTTCATGTTGACCTATTTCATTTAGTTGTCCCTTTGGAGTGTGGTCGAAGAGGGCACAGGAAAATGTAATGGTAGCGCTGATGATGAGGGGATGGCATCCGAAGAAGAGACTGTAGATGATGGTGTGCTATTCAAGGAAGGAGAGAGCAGTCAAGGTCAGTATCACCCATTGTTATCCAGTGACGCACACTGTGTTGTCTGAACCTCTGAGTAGGAATTATGGAATGTGATTAACTATAAATAATGTGTTTTTGTTTTTATTGTTTATTTATTTGAAGGTCAGCATCCTCCACCCAGGAATCCAAAGCCGTCTTGTCCACTGGCTGCCCTTCTTGGTGGTGAACGATACGGTGGTGGAGCACAACCCAAGACAAATACCCAAGAGAACCAGGCCAAGGAGCAGATGACCCGCTACAAGGAGGCAGATCTCTTGGAAGTGAAAGAAGATCCACTGGTCTGGTGGAAGGAGCACCAGTATGAGTATCCACTCTTGTCACACCTTGCTAAAAGGTACCTGTCTCCTCGGAGAGGGTCTTCTCTACCGCCGGAGATATCGTCACTGCTCAGAGAAGTGCACTTCTCTCAGACCACGTTGATCAGATTATATTCCTGAACAAAAATCTGAAGAGAATGTAGATGCAGTTATGTAGAGAGGAGCCTTTCTGTTTAGTGTTTTTGGCTTAAATGTTACTCCTTTGGACTTGAATTATTGGCAGGTACATTTTACATTAAATGTTGTTCTTAGTGACTTGAATGATTGGCTACCTCATATTCTGTGTTAAGCTAAAAATGCTGTAAAAGAATCGGTTCAGAACAGGCCACCTGCTGCACCTTTTAATTGTCCATTGTGATACTGCACTTTATGTACTTACGTTTCAAAGGCTTGTAAGCTACAGTTTGCACTGTTTCAATAAATGAAACTAATTTTTTCACCACATCTTTTGATTCATTTTGTCCAGCATTTGCAAGCTGTAGACTCTGTCTAGTCAGAGCCATATATTGTATAATTGATGCTTTCAGTTTTTAGTTGAATTAATTCAATCCAAGTTAATGGAATACTCACAAGATGTCACCAAAATCACACTGTCCCTTTAAAATCTTAAAGTGTATCGAATTATATCGAATCGTATCGTTGGCTGAATATCGTGATATATATCGTATGTATCGTGAGCTGAATGTATCGTATCGTATCGTGAGATTAGTGTATCGTTACAGCCCTAATGCCACTGATGCCACAACTTGCCGAGGCATCTGCCGCTGCTCAACGGGAGTTGCCACAAGATGCCAGAGTAAGATAAGGTTTACGGTAGCTGCCACTCGCCTTCCGTGACAAATGCTGCTATTTAAACCCATATTTATCGTGTAAAATGTCGCTGTTTAGGCATGACTTTATCGAACTGATCTGTACACAGGACTGATGTGCGATCTATATTTTTCAAAAAGATTATACATTATCATTTCTATTCAATTTTACTTGGAGCATGGTTTGCTAAAATAAACAAACGTGCTATTTTTATGATGAAATATTGGGGAGTGAGGGTTGCAACGCCCTTGACAATTGTCGCTTCTTGAGGGGAGTTTCCACTGCTTGCTACGATAAACCAGGTGTATGACTAGTAAAGACAAATAATTAACAAATACATATCTGTATTGACACAGCAACGTGTACACTGGTGTTATTAGACTTGGCTACAGACTTAGGGCAGCTGTAACTGATTGCAGTTGCCACTGCTAGTGAGATGCTAAGGTTTACTTTATAAATTAGGCAAAGGACAGTTATATTTGCCCCATGCCTTCAGCAGTAGCAGGCCATTCACTTTGATGTTATCCCGTTATGAAATGTCATCATTTCGATAATAAAGAAAGGCTACATAAACGTTATCTTGCACGTTTTATCGAACCTTCTCCGTTTCTAACTTTCAATATATTTAAAAAGAGATCTCTCTCTCATCTGTGTGCGGGGGCGGGTTCTCAGACATGCTGCTGCGCTGTGCACACAGTTCTGCCAGTAATGAATATTAAGATACATTTTGTGAGGAAACTTTTCCACCAATAATTCCAATAAGTATTCCAAAATGTATTCACTTCAGGTTTACAAAAGTAACTGTAATCAGATTAGTTGTTTTTCAAATGTAACGCGAGCTGAATACAGTTAGGGTACTTGATTTTTGTATTCTGATTACGTAACGCCGTTACATGTATTCCGTTACAACCATAGGTTACAACCCAACCCTGTGTACAGATCATCAGTCCTGTGTACAGATCAGTTTGATAAAGTCATGCCTAAACAGCGACATTTTACACGATAAATACGGGTTTAAATAGCAGCATTTGCCACGGAAGGCGAGTGGCAGCTACAGTAAACCTTCTCTTATGGGCCGTCCACACTACAGCTTCGACAGCTTCAAAAACGGTTTCCAACGCGTCTGCCCATTCACTTTGAATGGGGTGACGTCACGTTGCCTCTCTTTTCACCGAACTGAATTGTGGGTAGCATAGCGGTCCGTCTCCAGCGTCTCCGGCGCCAGCCAATCAAATCCCGTTTCTGAAAATCTGACAGCTCAAGCCCTAGCCAATCAAACCGCGTCTAAGCTGGGAGAGATATCCCGCCGTTCATTTCTATATTTCAAAAAAAGATGGAGGAGAAACTAATTATCGCCGTAGCAAATCACCCGGTTTTGTATGACCAGACCCTCTTCACCTACCGGGATACAAACCGGAAGAACCAGTCATGGAGGGAGGTGGCAGAGACAGTGGGTGAAACTGGTAGGTTTTCACCTGTTTGGGGAGTTTATATATATATATATAATATATTATATATATTGCTCGCATAAAATCCCCGGGTGTTTTTGCTTTGTATGTCGGGGGCGGGAGATTCATGTGATTGGTTGTAGGTCGCGTTGCTCGAATAAAATCCCCAAGCTTCAGACACGCCCAGCTCCAAGCTTTTTTTGAAGCTGTAGTGTGGACGCTCCGTTACTCTGGCATCTTGTGGCAACTCCCGTTGAGCAGCGGCAGATGCCTCGGCAAGTTGTGGCATCTGTGGCATATGCCGGAAGTACTTGCCACAGATACCACAGAGCAGAGCCCTAGAGAGATAAGAGTTACGACACTCCCATAGACCTCCGTTGTAAAAAATGGCGGCGCCTACTTCCGGGGTATGGACATCGAAATAGTTCAAAATATTGTCATTTGGGCGTTGAACCTCATTCACTTACATTACGGCGCCTCGATTAGTTCCAGAGGTAAGTTGCTGAAATATCGAACTCTTTTGAATTGTCAACTGTCTATATTGTATCAGAGGCCCTTTATGATGCTTATACTGGTCTTCATTTGTATATGCACAGCGTAATTATCTATATTTTATCTTGGTTGTTACAACCAATTTAGCTAGCATTGCCTGCTAGTTAGCTAGCGCGACTTCGTCAGCTTTGAAGGTAAGATTTCAGTAATGAATCGCTAGCAGCTTATATATCAATGATGCTGGGTAACTAACAAGCAGCATTTAGATTGATTATGTGTTTTTATTGTTATTTTGGTTTTTATCCGCTGAACCTGACCGTGTCAGCCATCCTTAGTCGGCTTTTTCTGTATGATATGACTTAACTGCTAGCACTAGTAGAAATGAGGTGGCGTTTGTGATAAATATTTCATTTAATATTTCATTGAATTTTGGGATATACTAACATTTCATTATGTGACATGTTGACTGTACTTTTTTTTTTTTGGTACTGTTCCGTGTTAACTCATCTGTACTGTACAACTAGCCTAGCGCTACTTTTTAATGCTTGATGGCATGCTTGGATAGATTCCTTTGTATTGTAATTGTATTGTATGGTATGACAACTGATCTATTAAAATGCAATATAAACGAAAGTGCCATAATATTTATTGTGCAAACATTTTAACATGAATATTGCTATGTCCTCTGTTCAGTCTGCTCCCAACTGTATTATCTCCCCTTATTCACCACTGTTCCTATTCTTGCTCTGCTTTTTAGGGCCCAGGAAACAGATGAAGAGGATGTCCCTTTCACAAAGGAACCTTTTTGTTTTTTTCAAAATGGTTAGGATGCCCGAGAGTTCTGTATTGCTTTTTTGTAAATAGTATTGCTTTTTTGTAAATAGTTGCTTACCCTAACCCTTTTTCGTAAATAGTATTGCTTTTTTATAAATAGTTGCTTTTTTGTAAATAGTTGTTTGTAAATATTTGTAAAAGGGTTAGGGTTTAGCAAAGTTCAAAAATAAAACGAGAGAGAGATGAGTTATTGTTATTACGACGTGACTTCACTATTATTTAACAACTCTTTTTATTGGGTTCTTTTATTTGGGGTTAAGTACATTGTCAAAATAAGTGAGAAATGGATTTAACTTCTGTTAGACAGCTATCATACTGAATACATATTTACTGTGAATGTGTGCAAAAATGTATGGCATATGGCTGTCTAACAGAAGTTACATTAATTTCTCACTTATTCTGACAATGTACTTAACCCCAAATAAAAGAACCCAATAAAAAGAGTTGTTAAATAATAGTGAAGTCACGTTGTAATAACAATAACTCATCTCTCTCGAGTTTTCCTTTTGAGCTTTGCCAAAAGCCACTGTGTCAATGTTGTCCTACTTGGGTTGCCGTCCGGAGTTGTCCAATATGGCGGACCATCTCGCACATGCGCACTGCAGATCGGGCAGAGCTGCAGATCGGGTAGTGACAATGTTTACGTTTTTTTTGGGGTGGTTGTAAAATAGCTGCTGTGTGTCTATTTTCACCCGGGTGCAAATAGACACATCTGGCAAACAATAATTATACTTTTTGTCAGCTGAATACTGTTTTGTTTGTTGGTCTATTAATGAACTGACTCGTGCTCCATGCTAAAGTGTTAGCCAAGTTTAATCAAGAGGTCCTGTTCGGGTCCCTTACCGTACATGTGGATTTAAACATAGGTCACAACTATGTGGCGACACCTTGTGGTAGGAGTGTGTATCTATCTAATCAACACATCCCCCTTTCTTTGAGGTAATATAAACAAATAGTGCAACATCAATTTTAACCAAACATTTTGATTTCTCTACCATGCCATAACAAATAAACATCTGGTCTAAATGTACTCAGAATGCTAACTAGCACAAACTTGGAAATTGTCTAAACATTTACACCATTTTAACATCCATTAAACCAGTCTCTCAATTACAGATTCAGTCTATCTGGTTTTCTGATTTCCCTTCTTCTGACCACATGTTCACTTGGAGTGTTAGTATCACAGTCTGTCTGTGGTGAAGGTGTGAACTCAGACTCAATGATGGATTCACTGAGCTGTTGACTAGCTTCTTTTGTTTTCATAAGACTGCGACGATTGCGTCTGAAGATTTGTCCTTCCTCTGTCCTCACAGTGAAAGATCGCGGTGCTACTTCCTGAAGAACAGTGGCTTTAGTTCTCCATCCATCAGGACCCTCAATCCTGACTGTCATTACTTGATAGCAATGGAAGCTGCTTAGCTGTTTTGTCATACCATGTTTTCTGCTTCATCTTTTGTTGTTGTAGTTGGTGTTGCAGCTTTGGGTGTCTCTTTTGCTTTGAATAGCTTGGCAGTGTGGTGCGCAACTTACGATTCATCAGAAGTTCAGCAGGTGACAGTCCACACTCCAGAGGTGAGGCTCTGTAGCTGAGTAAAGCGAGGTATGGGTCTGAGCCACTCTCATCAGCTTTCTTTAGAAGTTGCTTGAGAATGTGAACTCCTGTTTCAGCTTTCCCATTTGACTGTGGATAATGAGGACTTGAGGTCACATGCTTAAAGTCATACTGTTCTGCAAATTATTGCCACTCTCTGCTGTTGAAACACGGTCCGTTGTCACTCACTACTGTGTTAGGTATGCCATGTCTTGCAAAAATTGATTTTG